CGAGGCGAGACATTCACCTTTCATGCAGGAAACTTGTGAGTTTCACAATATATATATATATATACATACACACACACATATATATATATATATACACATATATATATATGTTTGCGTGCACATATGCACAGACAATATTGTGTTACTTAGCATTTTTATGGCATAATACTGAATTACGCGGATATTTGCCCAGCTACGAAGCACCAGCCTGGCCTCGCAGGACACGAGAATCTCTCCCAACTGACCGAGGAGTCTCCGTGTCCTGCGGGCGAGGTCTTCTTCATGCGGCTGGGTTGAAGGGAGAAACACTAGTGATCACTAGTGCCGGGAATGAGTATATAATGATCATCTTGATCACGTGAGGAGAAACAACATCATTACTTCCTCATTCCTTGGATAGAGGGCCCCACAGCACATTACCTTCGAGCCTCTGCGTTTGCGCACAAAACGAGTGTGATCGTTTCAACGGCTTCCCCCTGCAGATCCACCGGATCGCGGCACACCCATCGAATTTCAGCCGCTCGACCGGGGTGGCAAGTCTGCTCAAGACCTGAAAGGACACAAAGATCAACATGTTTGTCCAGGAGCTCATTCAGAGTCCATGGGAGTTCTGCAGGGTGTTACTGTGTTACTTTTGAGACCCGAAGTGAGTGGATCCATGCAGCTTCGTCACACACACACTGCACTCCCAGAACCAGAGTTCCGCCCGGTCGAGCGGAATTCCGTGCCGGCTGTGTTGCTTCGGATTCTTGACACGTCCAGGTTGCTTCATTTCCTGATGTCTCAGCTCAAGCAGCTCCGCAAGGACGGCAGCATCGACATGGAGGGCCTCGTCACTTGCCGTGCGGTGAGGCCATGGCTCGAACAAGTAGGCAAAGAAGGGCACTAAACCCCTGGATCCTTGTTCTTTTTAGGACCTCAGGTGCCAGAGACCTACAAGTTGTTGGTGACCTGTTGGATTGTTTTGGTATAGATGCCATGCGAGTACGCAGACGCAGCCGTCGGATGCCGTCCTCCCCGACCGTCGGATGCCGAGGTCAGTGCTCTGGCCATGCTCCGCGTGAGGTGGGGAATCGCCCCGGCACCGAGGTCAGTCTCCAGCCGAAGGATTTGCGGGTCCCCGGAAACCAACACGTAAGGTGTTGAGGGTCTCAAACTCCGCTGCGAAGGTGGCTCCGTCCCATAGGGTTTCTGTGACGACGAGCCCCACGGGCCCGGACGGGCAGAAGACACCCAGCTTCGGGCACGGGAGTAGATGACACATACATAAATGATCATAAATGCTTAAACACACACACACACATGCAAACACACATAAAAACAATACATGCATAATGAACTACATAAATAGATAGATAAATATAGATCAACGAACATCAACAGAGAGAGAGAGAGAGAGCTCCGCCAGGATCCCCTCGATGTCGGGAGCCCTGCGTTCCACGTGGCCGATCTTCGGAGTGCTTGCGCTGATCCAGCAGAGCCGCGGCGCAGATCCACCGCCGTAAACCGCTGGAGGGGTCGCTGGTTCAACTCCCTCCCAGGCAGATGACGCAGAACCCTTGTTGATGACACTGTGAGTAGGGGGATGTCGTGATGCTGACGCGAAGTGGCTTATAGTTGGTTTGTGGGTTGTACCTGGCGAATGTCGTGCAGACAATCCTACAGAGACCTGAAATGGAAGTCAGTCAAAGGGAGTTCTAGAGGGGAGACCTTCACGACCCTTTGATGGCCGCATTCTCTGGCCGTAGCTCCGGTTCAACAAGGACAGGTCTTTTGGTTCAATCACCAAGGAAACTCCTCAAGCTGGGTGTGGGCGGCGTGCGGGGCACTGGCATGGCGCTCCGCCACGGTGCAGCTTGGCAGGAGCACAGGCGATGCTGCGGGAGCCCATTCTTGGGCCTTGGCACCCGAAAAACCGAGACCAGGTCAACCAAATTCTCTAGGTCCTTGAAGGTCCTTGAAGGTCCTTGATCCATGGACAAGATGACACTGCCTCCTTTTTGTCTGAATCCCCGCCATCACACGAGAATCCGCAAGAACGCCGAGGCCGCGCCCTTCAGCGAAGCGCTCCTGCAATTTGCAGGCCGGTCACTCTTCCTTTCGTTTCGGCGCTGGGAGATGGGCCATTGGTTTTTTTCGTGGTTTTCACGGCTAGAGGGGCTCACACCGCACTGCTAAGGGTTCAAACCTCACGTGGGTGGCACATCATTCTACATTCCTTGGAAGCACCGTGGTGCCCTTCATATGTTCTTCTTTTTTGGCAGAAAAGCTCGGAAGTACCGTTTCTTTCTGGTTGCGTGTGAATAGCTGGAGCCCTTAAGAGCCGGTTGCCCCGGTGCGT